GCTAAGATTGTGTTTTCCGGTCATTGTTTTTCCCCCCTCCAAATCGTGTCATTTTTATTTTAATCCTGATTCTACAATGCTAGTTTGTTGACGTGTACCATCACCCCATCCAAGCAGTGTTTTGATATTTGGTTGAAAAATTTTGTTTCTTGGATGAAATGAACTGTGTCTTTCCCTTTAAGTTTTTGAGTGTTTTGTACTCCATGAATTACTTTAATTACGTATCTTTATTATACATGAGTAGTATTATATGTCATAAACATGACTTTTATGATCTCTTTTCCCTTTAGTTGATTTATATGTGCTCTTGTTGGCCACTTTTATTATCATGCTCTATTTTCAGGCATGCTACTTATCCAAACAATCCCCAAATATGACATGTTGAACATGTATTTTTGGTTGTTATGGTTTCAACCTTTTCGATACCTTTTTTACTTTTATTTGTCCCTAAGGGTTTGTTTTCAGAAAAGAAAGTGACTTTTGGAAAATGATTTCTGGAAAATGAGTTTTTTTAGAAATCATTTGACTTTTTTGATGTTTAGATGAAAGATTGAAAATTATGTATTTCCGTTTGATTTGCATTTGAAAATAGAGATGGGAAAACGTGAAAATAAAATTTGAACCAAAGATCCGACTCTAAAATTCCACATAAATTTTTAATTTAAATATGAAAGCTGAACGAATTTCCCAAATTTGAAAGCCGGAAAAAGAATTAACCCATATTCATCCCTCAACGAAAATCAAATCTCAACAAATTGAAATTTTGAACAACTCACAAAAAAGAAGATGAGTGGGTGGAGGGAGGAGAGGGTGTGGCAGTTGCGACGGGGAGGAAGAAGATGGGGGAAGCCGGTGATTTCAGTGGTGAAGACTTGGGACATCGACAAGGAGGGGAGTGGATGGCGTAGAATGAAGATGAGCGAGGATGAGATGGAAAATGACTTCTTGAGAAAAAAGACAAAATCAAGATTTTAGGCTTCATTTTCAGGTTGACTTGGATTTCATTCTCCTTTGACTCCATTTTTCATCTTTTCCGAATTTTCCTTTGTCATTTTTCCCTTTTCGAAACGGGTTCTAAAAGAGTTACACGATTCTTCTTTTTTACACTAAATTGACCATAGCATATAAATCATGTTTATATCAGATCCAATCAAATCAGACCATAGCATATCAGACCAACAACAATAGTAATGTCACCAATAGACTAAACCATGATTTACCTTCTTCTTCACTATCCGGTAGGATCGAGAGTAGGGGCATCCGAATTGGGTGTTCCATCTTTTACATTCAACAAATTTTGCCAGATTTTGGCCTATTTTTGTGTGGAAGACCTAAAAACAATACAAATCTCATTTTACTAGGTCATGCCACACATATGCCTTATTTGGATACATAATCTTTTATTAAATGTTAGTATTTCAAATAAAACTAATAATATGAACTAATTACAAAAATGTAAAATCAAGACGACGGACACCATGGTAAGGTCCCCATCGATCTTTAGAGAATTTTAAGTCGTTCACCCAAATGGAAACAACTCAACAACCCCGAGACCAGATCGTCAAAGAAAAGATTCTCCGCGAGGTTGAGGCCGATGAAACTAGCGGCTCTTTGAAAAAAGACCTCCATTCAACGTAGACGATCCCGACAACGAGGACCTCATTCTACGGCCAACTGAAAGGAAGAATGCAAATTTTATTAACTCGGGTTCTGGAGGGTTCGGCTTTGTTTCTTCTCACAACGATATTGGTCGGCATTAATTTTTTTATTAATGTATTTTTTATTAAATGTGCTTTTTTTAATTTAAGGAATTGTTTCATTTAAATTTAATTAAAATAAAGTTTTATTAAATTTAATTTTAGAAAATGTGTATTAAAAATGTAAAAAATAAAGATTTGA